AAGGACGTACACGTACGGTTGGTACGTTAGTAACTACGGACCGACTTACTAGTACACGGTAGGTTGGGTAGGAGGAAGACCGCCTACTACTAGCACCAAACTAGAACAAGTAGAGACTCTCTCTCTCTCTCTCTCTCTCTCTCTCATACACACAACACAAAGACACAAAAGTAATTAGAACCAACCTCGTGGCAGTGCCAGTACGATCCAATTTCTGCATGAGTAGGGCTCTGGAGCGAGCATTGAGAGACTGCAGATCAACGCAAAATTTAACAAAATAAGACGTCATACAGATGAAGCTATATTGCTCAAATATTTATTTTGAACAGAACAAATAGAATCACTGTACCTTACTATTTGTGGGGACAATTTCTCACGATTTGAGGAATATTGCACATTGAAGAATCTAAACAATTTAACCAATATTATCCAACCAAGAAACTAAACAAAATATATTACTATCCAATCAGCATAAATCAAAAGGAACAGATTTATATTCGTCCCTTTACACATGAAAGCACATATACATGGTAATTAAAGGAATAAATTAGCACACAAGTGACCCACAACATTTCCTCTCTACCAGGTTCAAATCAAAGTTTTCAAAACTCAGCTGTTCAACCAGGAACTTTTCCGAGTTGATCAGACCAGTCAACTCACCTGGTTGACCACCCATAAACTTGGATTTACAAAAAACCGCTGGCTAGGTTAATAGTGATCCATTCCACATTTATAGCAAGTGTCTCTCATACTTGTCCAATTTCCTATGTTTAGCATTGTCTAAAGTACTCCACTCAGCAAATTTCTTGCTCATATTTCTTACTTCCTATTTCCTAGACTACCACCATTTCACTCATTGTTCAAAACCCGGTTAACCCCCCATTTATCCAAACCATATTTTTGATGTTTTGATTGAGAAGCATAAACCATTTATGACTGTTTGAAATATTTTTATAAACGAATCTCCCCATCCCCCCAACCTTCTTCCAGGGTCCCTTTCTCTAAATGCGCATATTGTGAGCCTTCCAACACAAACTGAGCTTAGGCCACTGAGTTGGATGAACTGCTATACAGGCCAATCCACGACGGAATTCCAAGGTTTTTAAAATTATTCATATATTTATATCAAATAGGGAAAGAACTTGCCACTAAGTGAAACATCAGGATTACAAGGATGGACAAGAACAATAAAGAAGGATAAGATGCCCCTGTAAGTATATTAATGAATGATGTAACAACGAATATGAGAAAAACAAGTTTTCTTTCAAAAAAAAAGAAGGAGTGTTTCATGGCATTCCTCAAACATGTAGGGAGAGAGAAATGGGCCATACTCATGAATAGTAGGATGGCACCAAACAAAATTTGTCACTATACATGAATGAGTGGGGGAGAAAACAGGATTACTCATGAGAAAATGTTTGTCCAAACTAATCCTTAAATGGGACTAGCATCTAGCACACAAATCAATCTCAGATTGAGAGAAACTCTGTGCTCTACTTCTGTCGATTTTAGAATTCTATAGAGACTCTGTGATCATGACTCTTGACAAATAGTTTCATTCCAGATTGACAAATAGTTTCATTCCAGAGGACAAAGGTCAATGAAGTCATCATCCACAAAACGTAAGCTTAAAGAGATTACAAGCAAAAAATAAATAAATAAATAAAAATTAACATTCATCATCAAAGCCACACAACAAAGCATAACCAAAGAATGCCATAAAGAATGATGAAGACATTCCAAATGGAACATGCAAAAGGGCAATGAAGAAGTCATTCACTGCAGCCTCTGCCTCCCCATGTGAATGCAATAAGCATGCCATCTCAAGGCCCCGGTGGTGGAGATGTTCCTTACCAGCACCTTTGAGGCCATAAGTAGTGGAAAATCAAGAAAAGGGAGCTGAAGGCAGGAGTCAAGACTAGAGCACACCCTAAACTGCTCTAATGCACAAACTGACAGAGGATACCAACCAACAACAACATATAAAGCCTAGCAAGGAAGATGAATGCAGACTTGAGATAAGAAGGCATCAACAGAAAATCCCCAAGATCTATCACCTCTCCTGGAGGATGGACACAATGCTTCCATCCCCAAGAAAAAAATAATCCTGAACGACAGCCTCTGAGGTGGGTGTAATCAACTTCAATTCTATAAATAAATCCTAGAGACAATAATTGCTACACCAGAAGTCTGCCCAATTAAAATATCACTCTCATAACATCCCCCCCCCCCCCGGCACAGAAACCTAATATCTTTCCTAAATGGAAAATTTGAGCAAAAAATTGCCTAACTATTGTATTTACTAAACAGGAACTTTGTTTTATCTTTTTTCTTTTTTTGGGTTTTTGGATAAGTATCAAATGCAAAATTGTTATCTAAACCTTTGCAAAGACATACACAATCCAGGGATCTAAATATATGTTGAACCAAAAGAGAGTTTTATTAACCCATCTCAGCATAAGAATGTCAACATGTACCAAGCTGCATGAAGCAGTGAAAGTTAAAACAAGAAATTATCAAAAACCTAGGTCTGGACTCTGAAAGCGACTGGTTAATTGGTGAATGTTAAACTAAGATGCGACCATTGCATCTACAATGTGACAACTTGGTGTGAGGCTTTTCAGAGGCTTGCAATGGAGAAAATACAGAAGAGGACCAAGCCCTTTAGCATAGGGATGAGGGCCTGGTAATACAAAATAATATTAATTGGCATTTAATAATTACCAGCTCAAATACACTGAATTGAACAGATTGCCCTAAAAAGAAAATGCAACAATATCATTTCTCCTAAAAGAGGTTTCATCACATTTGACTAATAGCACTTTGGCAGAGTACAAGACTAGCAGGATTTCCTATATGCAAAAAACTTAAACAAAATCTGCAACATAGAATATGGGCAGCTATCTGGAGCTTGAGAACACAGCTCAGGGTCAATGGAATAATTAGTTTATGATGACGATTAGTACATGACGAATTGGTCATTATTTAGTTATTATTTAGTTAGGAAATGTCCTGTTTTTTCCAGGAGACCTTTTTAGCTCCCCAAATCTGAGAAAAAGGAGAGCTCACAAAATGCTCTTCCTATATTGCAGAGACAGTATCAATATGCAAATACAAGCCTAAGTAACATGACAGGGAACTTAGTACTTCAAGGCATATAGCACACATAAGATGAAAGCTCAAAGGCTTGAAGTTACACTGTTACAGCATTATGTGGCCATTTCTGGAAAAATAATGTTCAAAATCCTAGTGTGATTGCAGATTCTGGTTTCTGGATAACTAGGACCATGAGTACAGGATGCTAAAAATCTGCTCATTTGGAACTTCTAAATGAGTTACAGGAAGCAGTAAATTGGATCTTTTCTTTTTTTTTCTTTTGTTTTTTTTTTTAATCATTAAGTTCTCAGAGAAACATTATTTTCTCCAAGTTCAAAGAACTCCCCATCCTTGAGTTGGTGTTGAAGCATGGCAAAAGATCCTCGATTCTGAACATAGGATTGGACTGGGAAGGTCATAAAGCACTATTTGGGTTGCCTTTGGATTCATCAGACAATTTATTGCACAGCAGACTGCAAGCCAAGAAATAAACCAGTATCATTTCACTTACAAGGCCACCACCATCATCATCATCGAGGTCACCTGCTGTTGCCACTACATCCTGCCCTCCAACATGATCTGTCACAGCAGACACCTGAACAAATGAATATAATGAGTCATAATAGCACTAATGATGGCAGAAATAATGCTGAAACTAATCATAAGCAATAACTGGCTGTTGGACTACCAGAATTTTGGATAAAGATCCAAACTGATGAAAGTCTACCTTGATAACCCTGCCAGCAATTTCCAGCTTCCCATTCAAACTTTGAGCAGCTTTTGCATGCTCCAGTTGAGCAAACTGAAATATTCCCACATTATAATGAGCCCAAGTAAAAAAAAAAGAAAAAGATTATTCACCTAAAATTGGAAACACACTTACCTGAACAAACCCAAAACCTTTGCACTGCCCTGTCTCAAGATCAAGGGGTAATTGAACAAGCTCCACGGGACCAAAAGGTTCAAATACCTGGATTATCATCCATCCCAAAGATCCATCTTTATTTAGAAAGCATATAATGAAAAGGGAGGAACAAACTCCCAGAAACTCCAAAGCAAATGAGAATAACAAGAGGTTATCTAAGCTTCAACTAAGAGCATGAAAAATTGAAATACTAGAAGAGAATATATCGCAGGACCTAGTTCAAATGTATTCACCAAAACCAGCCATGGGAAAAAAAAATAGCAATACCCTCACAAATGTTTGAACAAGCACATCCATATTCACTACAATAGTAGTTTAGAATAGAAAACAAGAAAAGAAAACATAGCACCCCCTATATTATGTTGGCAGTGATAAGCAGTGAAATAATATTTTACTCTGGACAGACACGTAATAGAAGTATTTCTTGCATCTTAATCGCATGAAAAATATTATTTTATTTTGCACTACACCAATATGTTCCTCAATTACATGTCAAAACTACATGTAAACCAGTATGTAAACCAGTATCTCATGCCAACACTTTCTCCAAAAACCCAATTGGAGTAATGCTATAACATAAAAATAAAATAAGCTTCATAGAGATCCAAAAGCCATGGATGCCACAATGGTCCAAATATATATAGAAGACTACCGCAACTAGAATAAAAATCTTCGAATATATACACCAGGACAGTTAGGTCAAAATCTGCTCTATTAAAACTTTGTTTAGTGTTTACCCTTCGGATCTTTATGTCATCATCATCATGTGAGCCTTATCCCAACTATTTGGGGTCAGCTATACGAATCTTGTTCTGCCATTCCCCTCTATAATAGGTTACACCCTCAATCAAACCATAAGTCGTCATATCTTTTCTCACTACTTTAATCCTTGTCATTTGAGGCCTTTCCCTTGGCTTTTTAGAGCCTTCCACTTGAACCAAATCATCCCTCAAAACCAGTATTATTCTAGGTTGATGCTGCACATGACCTTAGGACCTTCATGTAACTACCTAAATGTACTAGGGCTCTTTTGTAAAGTGTAAAAGTTAATGAGAAGCATGTAGAGCCCTAATTCTCACTTTTCAAAGCATGAGGACTCTATCCTGTGCACTACCCCAACATGGTATCAGAGCAAGAAAACTAGATCCTGCTATATTTTAGCTATGACATCCTCATGCGGGCCTCAAGCTAACAATTCTGTTCATCCCTTTAAAACACTACCTTCCGTAGAATTCTCCAATTATATTTCCTACTCATATGAGAGGTATTCATCCTCCTCTGTTTCAAAACTGGCTTTTGCAGTTTCTTTTGCTTTCAAGAAACGTTTGATATTCTTGCCTTGTTGCCATAGGCGATACGAGTCGACGTGTATTCTTCCTTATGGGAATAAGGAAATGTACAAATTCCATTAAGCTTATTTGAAAACCTCAACTTGCAAATTACTACTGTAAAAAATAATGAGAGCAATAACCTATATTAGTCTGATTCAGTTTACTATCACTCTCAAAGTAGGAAATAAGTTACACCAATGGGAAAATTCAGCAGCTCAATCCTAAAATCTCAGAAAGGGACATTAAAGATTTCTATATCTTGGGCTGGCTTCTCAATTCCATTGAGCCTCTCTCAAGGGCTAATGTATCTTGCAACTGCTGAAGAGATATGGAAGGCTTTGAAAGACCAATTTCTAAGGAGGATAATGTGGCCAGACTGCATCAACTCCATCCAAAAACATTATAATCTGTAAGAGAGGCGACCACACTGTGGAAGAGTACCTTGGTTGTCTACAACATACGTGAAGAGAATTGGGTGTTCATGTTCCACTTACATCAGCTAGTTTCTGTCCAACATACCCAACCCAGGTGGTGACTCTACAACGGAATCTACCTCCAGGAGAAGAATCTTCACAGGAGGAGGGGGGGGGAATTGCTAGTGCAGCATATTACACAAAACTAGTCTAGTAACTCTAGTCAAGTGCAGCAATTACGGGACATCGCCCAGGCAAATTTGCTAATGCACCACATTGCACCGCATTATATAATGTTATTTAGCACGATGTAACATATAAATAGAATGATATAATGTGACACTAAAATGATATGATATAGTCTAATCCCATTTAATATACAACTATTGAACTTGAATAAGGGCATGCTGGACAGATGCATGTTAGGAGGATGAAGAAATATAAGAAATATGAGAGGCATTTCAATTGGGCTCAATTTTCACACATACTGTTCTACGCACCTAGGACTTTCCCGTCGATTAATATACCTTATGAGTTTAGTCCATAATCAGAGTATGGGAGGCATGATTAGTAATCTATTGGACAGGCTCAGGGTGTTCATAAAAGAACAGTGCCAGGATTGTATTCAACCATTTTACTAGGCTTGTCTCAAGTACTGGACCAAACCGATTTTGTTGACATAGAATGGCTGGTTCGGCACTGATGGAACTTGTTTAGAACATATTTGAAGAAACCTTGCAATTACGGTAGTGGTCCTCTCTGAAACCTTTTTCCAAGTTGTTCCTACCATTTAAAAACTGAGTCTCAAATCATGCTCCCAAAACTGGCTTGGATCACTTCAATCCTTTTACACCAGTTGGCCCCTGTTCTTTATTTTCACATAACAATTAATGGAACTTTTTAACTCAGACCAGGAGTCATACCACATCAGAATTGTAAAGCAGATTTATGGTCAATCTTGTGCTGATAATATGTGATTAAAACAAACGGTAGAACAAAGCTTCGAATCAGTTGACCTGGTTTGTCATGAAAAAGATTAACATAATTGAGAAGAGAGGGTTCCTAGCTTGTGATCTGATGTCCATCCCTTACTTTTGAAGGGGATTAAAACTCAATGATTCAATGGGGTATTATCGGAGCTTCCTAGGGAATTTGTTTGATTTAGGAACATAGACATAAATATAAGAGGAAAGCGACTTATGTCTCACTGACGAATGATTCGAAAAAAAAGTTCGGGTACATAACAGGACACTTGGGAAGAGTTTCTTTTATTGGTGCACCCAGCAAGACTTGTTTTCCATTTTCTTATCCTCTCCAACACACCCCCTCCTTTTCTTCAATATTTGTTTCTCATTGATCTAATCGACAATTTTGTTTATTTTGGCTAAGTTAAATCTCATTGTGAATCAGCAAGACCATTATGAAAAGTTTCAAGAGTAAACAAACATGAAGATAGTAATTCATAAGGTGCATCGTCAAATAGGTCAAGGGATGCACTATGGAATGGATATCCTTCCTTTTTCTTTTTAAACTTTTCCCTCATGGGCAGGGTGGACGAAATATAAGACAAACATCTCTAATTTCTTCAGGACCTGTGGGATTCGATGATGCCAATTTCGCTGAGACCAAACCCTCTCAAATGGGGCCGACATCTATTTCCGAAACTTCTCAAGTTCCCCAACAGTTCAGGGTGATCTGTAGAATGTGATTTGTTGGGCTCATAAGGGAAATGCTGGTCCGTGGAGGATGGCCAACATTTTTGAGAAAATACATGACATCTCTCATGATAGGGATGTTACTTTATACATACTCCTAGGATGGCAGATGATATTGCAAATACTCCAGCCCAGGCTGGCAATAGAAAATAGAACTTGTTGGCAGGGCAACAGCATCATCCCCTTTAATCTCTCTCGGCTCTCTTTAACTTCTTTCTTTTCTCCTCTCTCTTACCAAGGAGTCAACATTTGTATGCTGTTTTGAGCAACATGAGGTAATCAGTTTCTTTCTTTCTTTCTTTTGTTTTATAATAACATGTTAATAGGGTAGGAATGGAACCCTTGACAATCAAGGGCCCATTCCTAACTTGAAGCAATCAGTTTCTTCATTTTAATAGTAAAATAAAACATAAAAACTAAAAATATTTTCTCTGAAAGAAAATAGCATCAGCCATTGCAAGGAAATATTTAGAGATGATTATAGTAGTAAACATTCAATTTTATTTTTTTTTCTGAAGTATGCAATCTTGCGGATTCCACATAGGTTGAGGCCCAACTCTGCTACCTGGCTTCAGCATGTCGCAAGAGACACTACCACACTAGTCCACGGGGAGGACCACCCTAAATTCCACTGAATCAACTTAAATGGATGAAGGAATTCCTTGGTAACTATCAAGTAGTTCTGAAAAAAATTGAAACTCTTTATAGATTCCAACAAATTTGTAAATGATCAAGGGACAAGTAGAAGGTCCTATTTTATACTGCCCAATATGTAGACCATCTCCAAGCAAATAGACCCATTTAGCCACACACTTATTTGTAGGTTACTTGGTTATCTCCACGGAGTTGCCAGGGTTCATGAAAAATTTGTATAATGATGTCTCTATATGAGGATGGATAGCTAAACTCTGCTACTTATTATGATGAGGCTCCAGCAACTCATTCATAATCCCCTCAGGACGAAAACAGTCAAGACAAACAGTTGTCAAGAAATGCAGTACCCTTATCAAAATCAAACATAGACAACCAGAATTTATGCAATTAGAATGAGCAGTAAAGAATGCTCATAGAACTGAATAACTCCATCATAAAGATATTAATCAAAGGTACTTATAATCATTAATAAATGTATTACACAGATCATTTCCCAATAATGAATCATCATCCAGTGACAGATACCTGTCGGAGCTGATCCTCAGTCATGTTGAAGTGTAGATTCCCGACATAAAGTTTTCTGGCCACCCCAGCAAGACCAGCTGCTCCCCCAGCAGAAGCTGTTGATTGTACAAGATTCTTTTCGGCCTCAGATGGCTTAACCATTACAGGCTGACCAAGAAGCAGCTGACCAGAAAGAGCAATTGCCATAGGAACTGACATGGCGTCATAAAACTCGATATACCTACAAGTCAAAAAAATTTCAGCATTCTCTCCCAAGCATAGGTAACAAATTGCGTCACAACCTCAGATACAAAGTTAAATATTGAGGAAATAGAGTATAGCAGATAGAGGAATGAAAAGAAAAACAAGCACAGAAATCATTAATGAGAAGTCTGTGCCATATAAGCACAAACAAAACATTGCCAATTTACCAGTTTGGAAACATCTGCAGAGAATAAAAATAAGGGAAATTTGTCTAAATACCCATGGGAGACGAACTATTTAACACTACCCATAATTTCAAAATCCCATTAAAAAGCACATGATCACAACTTGGATCAGTTGTACATGGGTAAAAATATAAAATAGTTCCACGTCTTCAACTCTTGAGGGTATTTTGATAAATTTCCCTAAAAAAGAAAAGAAAAAAACTAAAAATCCATATGTTCTCTTAGTTACAGTATTCACAAATGGTGTTCGAGAAAAATACATATTCCTTCTTGTTAACAATTAAAGCACTTCATAAATCCAACATTCAAGGGAAAGCTCTTCAGTGTTTCCCTAGGAGTTTTTGGTCCAGATCTCATTCAGATCCTAATCAGAGAAGAACATTTCACCAGAAAGAAAAAAACAATGGAGACTTCCAAGGTGAAGCACCTGAAAAGAAACTATGTTCGAGATCATAAGGATGCAAGCAGTTAGCTTGGGCCCAGCAAAAAAGTGTCATGCTCATGAGGGAGTTCGACTAAAAAATCTCAAACCGCATAGACTACAGAAACATGTGATCAGAGAATGAAATTATGGCCACATGTTTATTAGATGCCACCTCCAAAGAGATATCATTTAAGATGGCTCTTTATGGTTTAGCCAAAGGAAATCCTAGTCTGCAAAGCTACCAAAAGGTTTATTAGGAACATAGATGGCACTGTCCAGAAGTGCCATGTAGGCTCTAAATGTGAAAAAGGAAAAGAATTTTCCTTGAAATAAAAAATCTAAGAAATGCCTAAGGATGAATCAGATGGTTAAAAGGGCATCTCAAAGAAAGACTTTTCTAATATAAGTATTTGTTGTTTAATTTTTGTGTTTTGGATGCAGTTAATATACATCTTTGTCTAACAGTTGTTAAACTAGTGATAACATGGGGCTTGGGAATTTTGTTCCATATAAATTTTGTACTCCTCTCTTATATGAAAGATAAGGAATATACTTAGAAAAAACAAAGAGAAAAAACCTGATCGTAACTAGATTCTAGCGACTTTTCCTCTCCTTCCAATCAGGAAAGCTGATTGGCGAAACAAACTCAGTACCTTTAACCTTTCTCAAAAAAACCTGGCAGCACTCCATGTCCATGAGCTCCAGTTCCATTCAAGAACTAGATCCACAACACCTAAGCATCCCTAAACAACCCCAATCACATGAGGAATGTATAGCCCCACAATCCCATCAACGCTGCTAAATGCCAGCTCAACCAAAATCAATCAATCAATCAATCATTGCCAATACCCAACTCCGTTTGCAAAATCTAACAAGGTTTAACGTACCCCCTTCCTAGAACTAAATGCAGCCCTAATCTTCACTAGGAGCTGGTTTTTTTCCCAACCCATTAATCCCTCAGTGGAATGGTCTGCCATAACCCCTTATCATCTAATCTGACCAAATCATGTGACTGTTTAAGGCTTTAAGCTCTCATAATCCCTAAACAATTCGCCTTTTTGCCCTGCTGGCATCATCAAGCTCCATCTCGACAACTTCAAGGATTCTTTCAGGCCACCACATCGGGACACATCCTTGTCAATGAAACATGCCCCCAGGCTAAAGCTAACCAGAAATTTATCGAGCAAATGACATGGGCAACCTTTTCTTTCCGCCAGCAATGCAACTACAAGAAGTCAAGGTCAAGGATTAAGGAATGAAGAAAGTACCCCCCATACCACACTTAAGGTCATCCACAGCACAACTAATATTTTATGCCATGCTATGACAACATCAATAAATTGGTCACGAATTATGTACAAGGACACAAACACAACAGTAAATGTTCAACACAGCTATGCATGTCAGAAACACCAACCCTAAAATGGTTTTTCAGAGAGCACACTATGCCCTTTAAAGGGTGTGGTAGGTCAAATTTAAGTAACAAAGGATTTTCGGATTAATATCTCAAGCAAAAAAGTCTCTAGTGTTTTAGTGTCACAGACATGTGATGTGTCTTAGACATTTCAACACATGCCAAAGAACCTTTGACAGGAGTGTCCAACTCAAATTGATCACAAACATATTGCAGATCATCTTCTACATGGAGTTCAACTCTCCGCCCCCCAAAAAAAATAAGGGCAAAGGTGGAATACAATTTTCGCATCAGAAATTGTTTACTAAGAGAACAATCTCCCTGTGGGAATCACATGGGTAGCAGTTTGCTACCAAAAAACAAACTTCCTGCAAAGATGGTTCAAAGCTTCAAGTTCAAATACCATAACATAACATGTAACATGTAGGTTACAAATACCACCCACAAACCATGTTCGTAAATATTGAAGTGCGACTCCTTGGCATTGGAAATATATAAGCTTGTTAGAGCATTACCACACCTAGGGAGGAAATGCCCAACACTCTTTAATCAACAGTAGAAGCGAGTTTGGGCAAGTCTTGTAAACACCTACAGAGATCGTAGTCACATTAAAATGCATCAAAAAGTTACATTACAGATTTGATCATCCAGATGGATCCATAAGTTGTGTCCTTCAGTTACTTTTGCAACAAATTAAGAAGGGATCATGGACAGGGTATTAGATTAATAACTGAGTCAAATGAAACACAGAAGTGTAAGAATCTCATCTTATCCTGTGCATCACAGCCTCAGGTTACATGGAACAAATGCAATAGAAAGAAGTCTAGGAAACAAGAAGACTTCCATGCCAGAAATAGGCTGATTATGGACCTTACATAACAATCTCATGCATATTAATTGCTGCTTGGAGACAGGTTCAAGGACATTACATAGCTTAAGAAATCAAGTCACACCTTAGCAACAAGTTTAATTTTGGTCGATGTCAAATTTAATTGACATAATAGGAAATCGATGATCTGATTGACATGATGCTCTGATCCAATAAAGAGGCGCATTCAAGATATCATAATACTGAATGAATAACTCCCGAGTTATCACGGTTTTTGGGTGTGGAGAGTCATATATCAAGGTATTCTGCCCTTTCTTTACTTTGTTTTCATAGGTTTGCTTCTCATTTAATTCAGATAGACACTGTCCACCACAAACACAAAAGTGACAGGCACTTTAACAGCTGAATTGGTAAGATAGCAGGAATAGATCTCTAGGAGATTCTCAAGCCATATAGTCAAAAGATAATCAGACTTAAAGCATCTTTGGAAAATTAGGAAATTTTCAACTGAGATCACCAGAGAAAGCAAACATATTTCAAATTAGTTTTCAGGAACTCAATCAAACCTATTTATTAAAAAATAAATTTAAAATAGTGACTATGCTTGAGCTCGGACAAAATAAAGCACATACCCAACTCCTTTTGAGCGTCTGGAGTTCCGGTCCATAATCAGCCGAACATCCCTTACCTAAAAATGAAGATGTAGAAGTACTCAGTAGAGTTCATGAAAGATTAAGAAACACACAGACAAGTTCTAAGTGACAAGAAAAGGATTATTGACATCAATATCAGGCATCCTAGCACCCCGGAGAGACGCAGTCTATTGATCACCAGCTTGTTTTATGTGCAACATTCACACTCACCACATGCAAAGAATGTTGAAGCCACAAAAACAGTCACTATACTACGCCTCATTGAAGGCAGGGGAGCATATACTGCAATCAGAAGCAAATGTATCTCAATGAAATGCATTGATACTAATCTGAGTGGTCTCTCATGCTAAGTGTGAAGACATATATAGCAAACACAGTAAGAAGGGATAAACATTTTAAAGACAAGGAAATAGGAGGTACAAAATAATATCTTCGAAGTTCATGATCTTGACCATTTCTTATGAAAGACAATTTTACTCGTATGAAACATGAAATTAACATAATGCAGTCAAAAGTTAATGTACAACAAGATCAAACATTCCCATCCACCAACCTTGCCTGCCCTTGAGAAAAACTCATATACATCCCTCTCATTCGCCTTCAATGGCATCTGTCAAAATTCACAAGCATGGTCATCATCCTCTATCAGTCCCTTTCCAGAATAGAACTAGTAAAGACTTGAGGTTATCACAATGTATATGAATCAGGTCTATCCAAAACATGAAAGGATTGAACGTTATTATGATGAAACAATGATACCTGGTAAGCAAAGACAGTCCTCTGATCGCGCTCTGGATCAGCTTCTGGTTCCACCACTTCTTTCTTTTCTTTGAGACGCCTACAAAATCAGAGAGGATAAGTCATCAACAGAGTTGCCAAATAAACCTCTAGGCATAAGCATCCAAAAAGAAGAAAGCCTAAAAAATGCTTTACTGATCAAAATAAAAGATTCGTCATAGACACAAGCGCGAGCAGACAAGCACGTAACTGGCACACCAGCCAGAAATTCCAGTTTAAATCCTAAAATGCCAGGAGACAAGGAAAATGTTAGAGGCCTTGTCCGGAAGAATAGGTTTGTTTAGGATATCAAAAGAACCAACAATTCATTGCGAGATATAGGAAATGAGTGAAGTGAAAGAAGACAATCAACCAAGATATCAGCATAGTTTATAACTACGTCCAAAATCTAGAGCAATTTATATTGTTCAAAAAGGGATCTAAGTTTGTAACCATTTAATACGGATAAGTATGTTGTATTTGTTTGGCATTGCGTGGATGATGCAACATCCCTTTCTTGGTTTATATGTGAGGACAAGACCAAGTAAAGATAATATTTTTATGGTGGAATGTTTCATGGTTATGACTTGGAAATTTTGGATAAAAAGGAGCAACAGAACTTTCTGGAAAGGGAAAATGGATCAAGAGGCCAATCGCAATCATCAAGGAATGCACCTTTTATGGGCCTGAAAACATCCATAAATGAATGAGAAGGTGGTGTTGTAGGTTAATAACTAGTGAGTGAGCGTCATTAGCAACTACCATCCTCCAACATTGAAACTGGATTGAGGACCCACCCTTCACAGGATTCTCAAAATTTAAGCAATGCACTAGATGATTCAGTGCAGCAGGCTTATGGTAGTGATCCAGAAAAATGATGGGCTCATTTTGGAGGGTCATGCAGGTCAATTGGCTGTGAATTGTGTATTTCACTGAAGCAAATGCATTATTGCTGAATATTCATTTTGTGGCTCAATTTTTTTAGGCTTTGTATTCTACATAGTGATGCATACAACCTTATAAGATGGGTTAGAGGACGATCTTGGTCATATACCCCCCAGAGAGAGAGAGAGAGAGGGAAGAGAGAGAGGATGTTGTCAGAGTCAAAAGGATGCTAGATATACTGCTTCGCGTTAATAATGCAAATTATTGTCATATCCTTAGGGAGGCCAACTCTATGGCAAATACCCCGGCTAATTAGAGTTTTAATAAATACCAATGGGGCATTTGCACTACATACCTTCATAGTTCCTTTAATTCCATGGTGATCTTTAGTTTCCTTTATATGAAGTTTTATTCATTAAATAGTTTAAAGTTTGATAGATACAGCCTTGGACTAGAAGAAGAGAGTTTCCAGGTGGATTTTATAGGGCCTATAAGTGAGAGAGCAAAGTTTTGGATCATTCTAGTACGATACCACTTTGAGATCTACAGGTTGGTGCCAAGGCGACAAAGGCAAGAATTAACATTCAGGAGAATTTAAGTGGGGCTCCAATAGGCGATAAGATAAGAAAATGTAGTCTGGACCGGCCATGTACAGTGCATGCCCAGTACAACACCTATTAGGAAGTACGAGTTGGTTCGAGTGGAAGGCTCCAAAAGGGCAAGAGGTAGACGTAAAGGACAAGATTGGAAGTACTGATAAAAGATATGGGAACTTATGGCCAGGGTATGGTCCTTGATAAAGTAGAGTGTCAGATCAGGACTCATGTAGCTGACCCCAAATAGTTGGAGAAAGGCTCTGATAATGATGATGACGATGAGACTATCTTGCAATAGACTCATACAGGATGGCACTACTTTGTGGTAGGGTGAAACTTAATAATGATAAGCTTACAACCTGTATTTTTAGGAGGCATTTGGTACTTTAACTTCTAGCTGAGGTCACATGCTGAACTCGATGGGTAAAAGAAAATTATATGAGACGGTAAAATATGAACGTGACTTTAACATTTCTAACTAATCTTATTTCTCCCTCCAACTTTCCTACTCTCTCTCTCTCTCTCTCTCTCTCTCATACAAACCGAATTATAAAAAAATAGGAATGAACAATAAAAAAAAGATAATACAGAAAACTTCATGAAAATTTAGAAGGGCGTTGATATTCCTCAATGTTCTCCCTGAAAATATGAAGTTTTCAGAAGAGTATTTGGCATATCAGAAAAAAAGAAAGAAAAAATCTCAAGAAGAAATTCAAAAACATTAGATAGCAAATTACACAGTAAAAAAAAAAACATTAACGACAGGAAGGGGCTCAAGGCATAGATGACTTGGATGGCAAGGCTCACAACATGATGTCTTGAATTGCATTCCTCCCAGATTTCAAGTTAACATTCAAAAAAGAAAGAAAGGAATACTCAACTTGGGAATTTAAAAATTTTAATTTCAAAATTGAATTATTCAATTAAGTTCAATATTTTTGAAAACATAAATCTATCTAAACTGTTAGCATAAGCATTGTGCAACACATGTTCCATTAGCTAGCAATACTCAAGTAGAGAATTGTCAAAAGATATCAAACGGCGAAGTATCTTAGTCAGCTACCAAATAATAGTTATGAGCATATCATAGAGATTTCTAATGATTGAGAAGCAATTCAGAAAAAAATGGAGATTCGATAGCAGGTTTCAAATCCCAATTATTTTCCATCTAGAAGATTGGAACAGAAAAAGGATAAGCCCCAACTTCATAGCAATTGTAAGCTAATGGGTTGTTTAATGAGTAAAAGAAGGTGTTGTGATCGTGAGAAGTTCATTCAGATTGCCCAAAATCCTGTGTTTCTGCGTATATCAATCACATAGAATCTGGTTAGCATATGAGAAAACTTCTGGATGACATTATTAATCCCATCGTTGTTTTTTTCTACCTTGTCAACTTGTTCACCAAGCCCCACACAATTTGTTCGATTATCATCTCCCACTGTGTTCTTAGATCCTAATACAGAGAACTTCAATTTAATATCAGAACTTCCCATCTGATCAACAACATCCACAAAACCACCACCTACTCAACCTTCTCAGTAGACAACAAATCAAAACTCCAACAACCATCACAAGTGAAATAGAACTTTTCAAAGTCACCACATCGGCATCCTGACTAACTTTATCACCAAAAACAATGCAAGGTGAGTATAGAAAGCCATGGAATGAGGGGGAGCATAAAACTAGTTTTCTGCTCCAGTGACACACTCAAAAGGTGATAAACTTAAGATGAATCTCAACAAAATTATTGATATATTACAGTATCAGGTTATTTTCAAAGTTGTAATCAGGGTATATACAAAGGCATTCACATTGCTATGTTAAGGCAGCTACAAGACATTAGCCAATCCCACATACTACAAATAATTGATTAATCTTAAATGACTCACGTCACTTTTGGGACATTTTCTTGTCATGAGGATGAAGTAGGAGGGAATTTTTATGTTATAAATTATTTTGGGACATTTTCTTATTATGAGGATAAAATCAAAGAGAATTTTTCGGTTATTAAACAAACATCTGATATACAATCTTATTTCACATCACATGAGCAAATCTATATTCATGTTTTTTTTTAGATCATGTTGTTTTTTAGATTTCCAATATTAATGTACATCAAACAGAAGACAAAAAAGAGAAAAAAAGTGAAAAGAGCTATGTTAGCAGATAATTGCTATTTAAACTACAAAACCACTTATGAATAAGAGGATAACAGAAAGAAAGAAAAGAAAGATGAAGATCATTGAACCTAAAGGCAACTAATTGAAAAAAACCAAATAAAATGTATAAAACAGTATTAGTTACCTCATCTCTCTCTCCCTTAACTCGAGCTCCCTTTCTTTTTCTCTTTCCCTCTCTCTCTCTCTTTCTCTTTCCTCCATGTCTCTACTCTTTCCTCGGTCCCTCTCCCTCTCATACCTTCCCGACCGACTGCTGCTCCTACGCGACCTCTCCTGTTCCCTTTCCCGATCCCTCTCCCTTTCTCTCTCCTTCTCCTTCTCCTTCTCTTTCTCCTTCTCCTTTTCCCTGTCCCTTTCTCTTTCCCTTTCTCTTTCTCTTTCTCTTTCCCTATCCTTTTCTCTGTCCTTTTCCCTATCCCTTTCTCGGTCCTTTTCCCTATCCCTTTCTCTCTCCTTATCCCTAACCCTTTCTCTCTCCTTATCTCTTTCTCTCTCCTTCTCCCTATCTCTTTCTCTCTCCTTCTCCCTATCCCTTTCTCTCTCCTTCTCCCTATCCCTTTCTCTCTCCTTCTCCCTATCCCTTTCTCTCTCCTTCTCCCTATCCCTTTCACCATCACGGTCACGATCACGATCACGGTCACGCTCCCGTACTTTCTCTCTCTCTCTGTCATGATCCCTTGACCTCCCATTTCTCTCATAAATCTCTTTGCTGCTTCTATGCTTCGATCTATCTCCACTTTCTTCCTCAGATTTCGCTCTCTTGGTCCTGTTCTCCACAGTGGGTTCATCTGCATCAGCCCCACGCTTTGAGCTTTTTCTATGATCATCAACAGTAGAAGAATCCTTGTAACCCTCGGGATTTTCAACCGTTTTCTCTAAATAATCATACTCGTCGAAATCCATCAAGCTGACCAACCAGTATCTGATAAAATACACAAAAATATATACATATCAAATGCACCCAATAAAAATCATAGTTATAAACATTTTACATGCAAGAAATACATTTAATCAGATTCAACATCGTAAACCAGGATGTAATAAATAGAGTGGAAACGGAAACGGAAACGGAAACAGAAACAGATATAATATAAAGGCGTATAGAGAGTATTAAAGAGCTTTAAAACAAGAAACTGGTTAATATTTGGAGCAGATGAGCATCAAATGACAGATAATGAATACAAAAGTATAAATATAGCAAGCAAACATTTAAATTTTTTTGAAAGAACGACAAAACACCTGAGCATAAAAGGATATCAGATGGAGAATCACAAGACAAGTAACAATCAAACATATTTAAAGGCTTTAATGCATAAGCATCAAATTACAGAGATAATTCAACAAACATTCAAAAGCCATATAAAAGATTGATAAAGAAGACATGGCGTACAGTAACATATGGAACACCATGAGACCGATGACAAGACACCATAAGACCGGCAACAATGAACAATCCTAAAGCTCTGCTGCATAAGCATCAAATGGCGTCGATAACTTAACAAAACCTATGAAATTTCCAAAATATTAACAATGAACAAGTGCACAAAATTATTCAGCTCAAAAACCAGAAGTATAAAATGAGACCAGCGACAATCATTAAGATTTAGGGTTTCATTTCCTAGGAACAATTTTGCCCATCAAAGGTTCATAAACACGACCGATACATAAATAACGAACCAAAAAGGAAAAAAAACACAAGTTTAGGGTTTCAAAGACTGAAGCTAATAAAAGACGAAGAACATAAGACCCAATAACTCATCAGAGCATTAAAGCCTAGAAATCAGAGAAAGAAAAAACCCTAACTTACATAGATAAGAAGCAATATGAAGTAGAAGTTTCGAGCCTCTATCCAAATCAGAAGCGAAAAACCCGCGGGGGGTAGGGGAGATGGGGGGTTTAGGCCGCCAAAATGGCCAAAACACATTCCCCTGCTTGGCTTTATAGTAGGAGGTCAATGTATGATTGCCGAAATTAATATTTACTATTGGATGTAAAATTGGTCATAAATTGGGGTATTATATTTATTTTTTTGAAAAAGGTTTATATAACGATGCTACCTTATAGCGTAGAACTACGGATGCCCCTCAAATATCCGGAAAAGGCAGTTTTAATGATGAAAAAACCTTGGATTTGATCGTCTCGAAATCGAGATATATGATCATGAAAAATAAAATAAAAATTAACTTTAAGAAATAGTGTATTTTACAACATATTATTTACGTCATTTATTTTTAAGATTTTCGTATGTTTATAGATCTACTTTATTTTAAGTATTTTTAAAATTTAAAATTTTATAATTAGATATAAAAATATATTTTAAGGTAATTCTAAAAATATTTTACATCAATATTATATACCATGATAAAATTTGAAGGCACACGTTACCTCTACAGCTACAAATGCATCTGCATGCCAACTGCACCCTTATTTTATTGACCAAGCTCAAAGCTCTAAACAAATTTTTTCGAACTTTGTGGCACACAAGCTATTAGATTTCACATTGTTAGAAATAATTATGACTTGCCTATACCAAAGATAAATAGTTTCATGGTATACATTTCCTTCGCTTTTTTTCATTTTTTAAGTTTTTTCTTGAGATTACCTCTAATTTGGGACTATTGGTTCATTCCAGTATTTGCAAAATCGAATCGGAACGGTTAACCGGACATGGGGCTGGGAGCAGTAATCGGGGTGGTTAACTGAACTAACCGGTCAAGTAGATTTTTTTTAAAAAAAAATGGGTCAAAAACTTCCAAAAAAATAAAATAAAAAATAAAAATACTTGGATTAAGTATATAATATCTTATTACATATATTTATCTTATAAAAAAAATTTGAAACAATTTTTTATAAATTAATATTTGAATAGTATGGTTCTGTACATGAAAATATCTTAGGATATGTTTTGAATATATTTTTGTCACGTAACATCTTCTTCCAAGAAATAACATATTCATTCCAAACCTTGCATAAAAATCTTTCTAGTTTTTTTTGTACAAAAAATTGCTCACATTAGGAATGAAAGTTTATGCACTTTAACAACAAATAAAAACGTCAACTAATTAAGACAATAAATACAAAGGACCTCTTCCAAATAGTTAGATAAAGCATAATTCATAAAATACCTTTTTGATAAATTTAAATAAGGCATACTTTACAAAAAATACATCTCATGACATGCAACAAAACAAAAAATCAATGCACAACTGTTCTTATATGTATCTACCATATCCATGTCAGTGTGTTGTGCATTGATTTTATCAACAAATAAGAACAATAGAACAAATAATTTGATCAAAAAATAATTCTATTAAGCAAAATAGAAAAACACTTCCCATATTTATCATAAACATAATTTTATTAAAAAAGAATAATTTTATCGAAAATTAAAATTACTAAGCAAAATGGAAAACCACTTCCCATATTCATCATACAACATAATTTTATTAAGAAACCATATTTTTATCAAAAAATTATAATTTTGTTCAGCAAAATAGAAAAACAATTACCATATTCATAAAAAAACATAAATTTTTATTTAAAACATAATTTTATTTAAAAGATAATTTTATTAAGAAGTATAGAAAAAAAAGTTCCCATATTGATAAAAAAACATAAATTTACTAAGCAAAATGAATTTTTTTTAAGGAAAATCAATTTCTCAAAATGTGATGGATGATTTGAAATTAAGATCACCTTTGTAAACTACTCTCTCTCTCTCTCTCTCTCTCTCTCTCTGGAATTAGGCTAGATCAGGATTGGCTAGTGACCGATCATGAGTTAGTCGGTCGATTTTTAAAAAATCAGTTGATCTTTTAAAGGCTCATTCCATAACATTTCAAAACCTTGATAAAAAATGAAAAAAATAAAAAATAAAAAAATAAAAAGAAGAATGAAAAAGAGAAGAACTAAGCACATACAAGACGATGGTGTAGTGTTTCATTGAACATAAGGCAACCAAAATATTTAAGCAACCAAAATATTTACATGTACTTAAACAAACAAAATGTCTCATTTCCATCATGAGAAATATAACTATATCTTGCACTTAAAAAAAACATAATAAAGAAAAATCGAGCGACATTATCATGCACTTATCAAAACAAAGAATCAATTTCATCAAAAAATTAATTTTATCAAAATGAATAATTTTATTAAGAAAAATAGTGTAGTATTTGGTTACCCGACATCCACAAGATAGAATTTCTCTACAAAACGCCATATTTATAAACTCATTAAGTGGTGATATGGATGTATAGGTGTGTGAGGTCAACTACCATAGCAAATATATTTATACCTGGAGGAACTCGAAGTGGGTCAGAATTCGATAAAAGAATGATACATAATACAAGAATCTGATGCTAAACCTTCCCAACTAGAAAGAATATATTGGAATGTTAAATTAAAGGAGCATACCCCCATGACATTTTGAGAGATGAATTCCTTTCGATTTCAATATGTGCCTTGCAGTGCAAATTGCTTCGATGTAATCTTAAATTTTTTGAAAATGAACAAGCAAGCAGATTCAAGTTCATATGACTGTACATTAATTAAGAAAATGACATTATAAGGATATGTTAAAAATACCTTAAAATATGGGAGGAACTTCCCTCTTTTATGAAGTATTTCGGGTGGTACGGTCGTCTTTGGAAATTTAATGAAATCCTCATGAAATCTTATGACTGCATCCAACACTCGGTTGAAGTTACAGCTGAGAGTCTCACTCGAACAATTAAACTTGTGATTGATCTTGTGATTATTCAAGTTATGGCTCTTAGCATGTAGGAACATCACTAGTTGTTCATCTAATGATACTCCCATCGTGTCATTTATCTTTCCCCTTTCCTTGAGGAGATCTCAGAGGGAGGAGAATACTGCCCTACTCATACAAAGTTGGTCCCGAAAATCCACCTCTCCTTTATTTATTATCTTGAGGTGGTAATTAGTACCCAATGACGTAGTATGGGATCCTTTTGTCTACGACAACAAGCAGCTAGAATTGTAGTTACCGCACATGGAGTTGTGGTGTAAACAACACACCTCTCTATCATCTTCCTCTTCCTTTTTTGTTTATCAATTTCCTTCATTTCGTATCGCATAAATAATATGTACTCCCCCTAAATTATATAAAAAACAAGGAAAATTTCTCCATATTCCTCGTGTTTTGTACCCATTTCTCAGGAAACCCAAGGATTCAAAATATTTATGGTAGCAAGAGGTATTAATCTTTTCTATTCTCAATCCCCTGGACCCTTTTGACCATATACTATTGTCTCAAATGATGAAATGACACCCTAACAAAACCTAAACGTTATGTCTCTCCGCTTGAAAATCCCCTATATTTAGTTAGTTTGGCTTAACAATTAAGCCTCTATGAGATATTTTTCTTTGGGGGCTTAGACCTCCTTCTGTGTGGCCCGATACAATATCTTTTGGGAGTTGATTGAATTCATTTCCTCCTTCACCTCTGCTTGGTGTTCCTCTATGTTCACTCTTAGTCTGTCTCCAATTCTTCCATCTTTTTGGCCTTTTTTTCCTCGTCCAAATCTCTCTAACTCATTTTAAAAAACCCTACATTTTGATCGTTGGTTGTGCATTGACCCCTATTAGCACGCCGCTAAACTTTTATTGATCTCTTTATGGGCATTGTCATACGTTTGGTTGGCACATCGTCCCAACCTTAGTTTACGAGGTTATTATTGAAGGGATGCTTATTAAGGGTTGTTTGTGAGAGGTTCAAATCAAGTAGAGGAGATATGATAGTTTAATATCTGAGGAAGCTACTTCGTATAGCTCAGTTGGGATCCACAGATAGCCGATAATGTAGGCTCCTTTGAGGTTGAAGGTTATCAATATTTTGCAAATCTAGATTGATCATTCTTGGTAGTAGGGACTTGTATCTCTCTATTTTTTCATCTCTTTTTACTGCTGTAAATGTGGAGCTTGGATATTTTATATAATAAAGTATAGTTAACATTCAATTAAAAAAAAAAGACCTTGTGCTCACATTGCAATAATGGTAGGTAGGTGGAGTGGAAAGTGAAAACTGGTCAGAAGTAAAGAGGAACTTGAAAGATCCGGTAAAAATGAGGTTGAAATTTTAAATTTATACACTAGAAAAGGGCTCATAGAACAAGTGTTGTCCCAGTGTTCACGAAATCGAACTAGAACGGTTAACCAGACATAGACCCGAAAGCAGTTTAATTGGCTTAACCGGTAAACCCTCCGATTCAACCGTTCTAATTGGACAAGTCCCGAGTGACCCAAAAAGTGTTGAAAGCAGTGTTTTAAAAATCGCCGAGTCGAACCGGACTCGCCCGGTTCGACTCGAAATTCACGAAAAAGGTACCGGATCGGTTCAAAAATCGGGAATCGTCCGGTTCTAGAGAGAACAGGACGATTCCGCACAGTGACTCGCCGATTCACTGTGCGGAATCGGCGAGTCCGTGAAGAACACGGGTTGCACAGTGTTCTTCACGGATTTTTTCAAATTTGTCATTTTTTGATCATTTTTTTTGTTTTTTTCGGCATGTGATCTGTTTTGCAGGCTGTAAACAGCTTTATTCAGCTTTTTCAAGGATTAAATGGTGAAAAAATTGGTTGTTTTTGGATCAAGAAAAATTCGGGGTTTAGGGTTTCCGCCATTTCTGAAATTTCATGCCAAATAGGGCATGAATCTTTCAAAATTTGTAGGCATATTGATCTTAATACTGTGAATCAAAAGCTTTTGTTACTAATTTGTGATAATCGTTGAGAAAAACAGAGTTTTTTTGGAGATTGAAGGCTTCGGTTCACAAAAACAGGTAAGAACTTTGGGTTTTTTTTTTTTCCGCCATTTGATTTATTTCACGGCATATTTTGAACAAAATGAGTTT